TTCGCGAGCAGGATCAAGATTCCTGTTGCTTGTTTCCAACTCCGACCTCAACCGCGATTTGGAAGCCACCTTGCGGTTGGCCACTTAGAGTTAACCGATGTGGAGCGATGTTGCAGTGGGCCAGGAATTAATGTCTCAATTTTGCAGGCTCATTGGGCGTGGCATCATAAAGATGCCCGTGAGAGAGTGCCTATAAAATGACATGCGCATGATCAGAAGGCTGATTGTTGAAATTGATAGACAAAGCTATAGACAAATAAGACATAGGGATTATGGAGCGATCCTGGTTGAAATGATTGGTTCCAGGTTCTTATAGGCTGAAGGAGAAGATAGTGGAATAACTACAGGGTCACTCGTGGGTTGCCTTTCGTTAGTCTATTACCTACCTCCTTTGTCCATTACAACCACCCGCTTCCACCCCTAGGATCCCTCCATATCCTCTTTGTCTTCTTTGTCTGTCGCTTTGTCTACCAATTTCAACAATCAGCCCGCAGCACCTGTAAAATCTGCTGGTTTTAAGCTGACAGCACCAAGGCTGTTTTCAGTATGGATAATTTGCTTGGGGGTGGCAAAACTTTCAAAGATTCTCGAAATGACCCTATAACTGATCAAAAGTGTGCGTATTTATTCAAAAGGAATTATTATCAATTTGATATAATCCCTCTTATGCAATATTCTTATGGATCTCGGGGCTCATGTCAGAATGGTTACAGATCATTTTCCACCCTTTATCGTTCAAAGTGTAAAAAATTTGCTGGAGCTGAACCAAGGCGCCGCGATAACGTTAGTTTTGCGATCTGGCGTACGCAGACCATTGTGTTTTCATGAGCGGAAGGTTTGAATTCATGCGTCAAGGAATGTTAAAGATCTTGGTTATTAGTTAATATCAGCGATTTCCGTTGCGCAAATCGTGTTTTATGTGGATTTGTGTTAGGAAACATGTATCAGAATGCTTAAACCTGTATCTCGTGTAATGGTCATTCCTGTCGGAACCCTTTCACTCATCCCACATCGATAGCCGAGTTCAAAGGCTATACTGCCATGCTAAGATAGAACGCCATATGAACATTCGAGAGTTGCCAAACTGCTCCAGATAAAACACGTATTTGGACGTATTTCTACCAAACAGACCTATGTGGAGGTGAGAAATATGGGGTGTGCTCTAGAAAACTGCATAAGAAGCAACGTAAAAGAGGGCGTGATTCCTTTTGAAGAATTGGAAAAGTGGGATATTACATTCTATCAAACAGACCTATGTGCCAACTGAATGCGGGATTCATGAGCCGCGGGCATGGCACGAGAGCGTTGTGGACAGGGTTCATGAGTTAAAGCGGAAGCGGAGGTGGGACGACGGCGGTTCCATCTCCGTTGACGTCACTGGCGCTTTATTATTCTCATTCACTCTCACGGCCAGAGAGCTAACGAGCACACCCTATTTTTCTCACTTGCACATAGGTCTCTTCGATAGAAATACGTCCATTTTTGAGTGAACTTATACGTTTTTTCCTCCTGGTTTCCAGACGTCTTAGATAAAATTGCGAACAACATTTTCTGAATTAATTGAAGGAAAATATTCTCAACTATCCCAGTGAATTAGGTTTTTATCGAAGGAAATTCGGTGACATCTGAATTCTCATACGGCGTTGTTCCTGAGCACGGGAGCATACGCCTTACATCACAGCAACGGGGCGGATGTTCCGATTACGGACCGGGGGAAACCGCCGCGACGATCGGCGGGAGGAGGAGGGGTGGAGATGGGGTGGCCGGGTTTTAACCGTAATGAAAAATCTGCTCAATGTTGCGGAAGCTGAAACAAAACCACCGCCGGCGACGGAGCCCCTCGCCCCCGCGGCGGGCTAATCACGCTGGTTACAGCTTTATGCCGCCGGGGGTGTGAAAGCGAGTGTGAAGAACGCCGTTAACGCTGTCGTCCGGCGATCGCGCGTCCTGGTATGAGGGGGTGGGGGTGGGTGGGGTGGCGGACGGGGTTCGAACCCTTGCCCACGGTGTCACGCTTCATCGGTGTCTCCTCCGCGGGGGTGAATGGTGACGGCCGACCGGACGGAGGAGGGATGGGGAATGACTTTGTATGGAATCCACGCACGGTGTCGGAGCGATCGTCTGCTGGTCATTGGGGCCGGCCATCGTCTGCCGGTCGTGCCGGATCTAGCAATTTGCAACACTGTTTTACTCCATTTAAACCTATGAAAATATATCGATTCTCGGAGGGGCCAGTGCACTGATTTTTGAAATTTATAGACAAAGCTATGGACGAAGAAAAAAAGAGGGATATCGAGAGATCCCGTTGGTGGAAGTGGGTGATTGTAATGGACAGAGGAGAAAAAAATGACGAGTAGCTGAAAAAATGGAAGCAATTGATGCGATATATCGCATGCCGTTCTGACACAAAATATGGCGTTCATCGAATCACCTTAACGAAAATCTGTAAAAATCGAAAAATTATCATTTCATTGATAGACCCTAGAGGGAACTGACGATTCAATCCAACCTAAGTCGCAGTAAAGTGAGTTTAAAATAAGTTCGCATTCAACTGATTAGTCAGGCAAATTGGGCTCCCAGGAGTTAAAATAGTGGAATCATTCTAGAGTGGCCGTGGCCGTATACATATCGGTGAACTCCTCCCCGCAGTCAACGTCTAGGTTGGGTCAAGTTAGGTCACGCAACTAAACTAACTTAACGGCAAAGCGCAAAGTATCACTCAAATTGAAGGCACCCCAATCCTGAATTTGTTGAAGGCTCATACGGCGTTCTTCCTTTAGCACGGCAGATCTGGAAAGCGTGATCCCTGGTTCAATTGTAGATCGGAATGTGCAGGGCTCAAAATCAACTCTGGGGAGCTGCAATACGTGGGAGTTCAAATTCTCAACGACCTTCCACTCTATTAATAATTGTCCTCGCGGAACTTTGAATTTGATCTCTAGTGATGTGATGTACGATGCAAGGTCGCGAATGCGCGGCAAATTGTGCCCTCCTAGGTTTTCCCACTTGTTCCGATGAATTTCGCCTTAGTGTTATGTCATGGTCATGCCGTGAGGTAACAGACAAACGGAATACATTTATAATTAGGAACTTCTATTTCCGGCTCACTTTAGAAACAACGTATGTATCTTTTAGTTTCCCAGCACACAAATGTTTTTTTTTTTTACGGATGAGTCAGAAATTGGACTGCATTTTGCAATTTGGAACTATAAATTCTGGAATTTCTGGAAAAACACTTATGCGCATGGGAAAACTAACGGCGCATACGTTGTTTTTAAACCGGGCTATAATTTATAGTTCCAAATTGCAAAATGTAGTCCAATTGGACGTATTTCTACCAAACAGACCTATGTGGCGGTGAGAAATATGGGGTGTGCTCTATAAATCTGCATAAGAAGCAATGTAAAAGTGGGCGTGGTTCCTTTTGAAGAATTGGAAAAGCGGGATAATGCATTCTATCAAACAGACCTATGTGCAACTGAGTGAGGAACTCATGAGCCGCGGGCAGGGCAAGAAAGCGTTGTGGACAGGGCTCATGAGTTGATGACCCCCGTGAGCAGAACGACGGCGGTTCCATCTCCGTTGACGTCACTGGCGCTTTATTATTCTCATTCACTCTTACGGCCAGAGAACTAACGAGCACACCCCATATTTCTCACTTCCACATAGGTCTGTTTGGTAGAACTACGTCCAATTGTACTTCCTACTTGCAAAATGGACTTTATTTTGCAATCAGGAACTATAAATTCTGGCTCATCCGAAAAAACACGTATATGCATAAGGAAAGGAATGGTTTATACGTTGTTTTTACACTGAGCTAGAATTTATAGTTGCTGATTGCAAAATGGTGTCCAAATATAGTCGAAATTATTCGTCGGTCTCCGGACGCGAAGGGACGTAACTCAGTTCCGAGGTTGCAAAATTGACTCAAATAATTTAATATTTTACGAAAATGTATCCGCGCAGTTTCCTTCCGACGTAATTTCTGATTTTTGCACGAGATTAGAAGCAGAATCGGTGAAATTTTCGATCAGAAATGCCCAAAATTCTCCTTGTAAAAATACAATTTGCGAGAGGCACGTTAGGAAAATTGCTATGTAGCTCAGTTAATTCGGAGTTAATTTTACATTGAGTCAAAGGATCGCATTTAACGGAAAGGAACCAGCGCGATTACAGTTTTGTAGAAATGTTGCTGCTTTATAATTATGAAACATCTCCTAGGATAGCAAAAAGTTTTTGCTTCCCACAATAAAAAATGTCAGTGGACCATTAGACAAGGTTCGAATTTCAACATTCTGATACATGTTTTGTAGCTAGAATTTTACGTAGAACACGATGCGCACGACAAAAAATACCGAAATCAACTCCTTACGAAGATATTTAATGATTCTTAGGGCGTGAATTCAAACCACCCGCTCATGAAAACTCAATGCTCTACGTGAATCACATTGCGCGCTAAACGCTATCATGACAGTCTCTGCGATATAAAAATCTGGCAACCTCAATCTTGACGCTATGGCTCAGCTATAGCAAATGACTTAAAGTTTGAAAAACATATGGTGGGAATTGAACATTTCTCGATTAAGAAGCTTGCTGAGACCATTGTAGTGCGCGATTTGACTCACGTAGAGCTTTGAGTTTCTTGTGAGTGGGCAGTTCAAATTCCTCGTAGCCAATGTGAAATAAAAACGTTAATATCTTCGTTAGGAATTAGTGTCAGTAATTTTCGTTGTGTGAGTCGTATTCTACGTGAAATTCTGGTTAAAAAACATGTATAAGATTGCTTAAATTCGTACCTTCTCTAGTGGTCCATTAAAAAGAAAAATAATTGTGTGAATTTTATCACTGCACATATATTAAGTATTTTTAAAAGTAAATAAGAAGTTAGACGACTTTGGAAACATTGTAAACGCGCTGGTTCCTTCTTGCTAAATTCGATCCAAATGGGGGACGTGAGCTGAATTTTCAGCACAATCTGGCAAGAATGAGAGAAAACTCACCGTGAATCTCCTACACCATACGGATAGCCACTTGATGTCTTTGACCCGCTTGCCGGCGGGTAGCTTCAGGACGATGTTAGCTTTGTTGTGGTATCGCAGCACGGGAGGGTCCCTGAAAAAACACCAGGAAAACACTCATTAGACCCTTTGAAAGGGATGCAGCATCGGGGACAAGAGAGCAGATTGTGAGCCGCAGCAAACAGCAAACAACTAGGTTCCATGCTCCGAAACTCTTACATTCGTGATTCATATTAGTCATTTACCCTCAGAAAAATGTATTCGCAAGTCAAAATTTGCTCATAATTTAGTGACCAACACTGAAAAAAGAAAAATATCGCAGATTTTACCAAACTCGTACACAGTGAAACCAGTATGGTAATAAATATTGGACTGTATGGTAGTATTTACTATACTATGGTAAGTGTCAACAGTATTCTGGTGAATACTACCATACTTCTGGTTATTTACAGTGCATGGTATCACCGTGTAAAAAATCATCGCTCCTCGTGATTTTTGAGACACCTAAGCGCCAATCTCAGTGTGGCCAGCGCAAGGCCCATGTTAGCGCCTACAAGACGAGGATACTTCACGCATTGCGCGTACGCACCGTAGTGTACGCGTAATGCGTGAAGTATCCCAGCAGTCTTGTAGGCGCTACGCGTTTCGCGCTGGCCGCACTGTGTTTGACTGTAATATTCAAATTCGCCGAGTCAGCTTTCTCAACTCATGGTTTTGAAATGTTTTGCACTCTGTATGGATTGTTGCCATTTGCCATGGATTATTGCCATCCAATGAGTAACAAATCTTATTTTTGCTTTAGCAAAAGTTTGCAACAGGCCCATCCTCTGTGACAATTTCAAGGAACGATGTTGGTTCGGTTTTCTTTTAAAACGTAAAATAAGGGTAGAGATTTTGAAACGCCACACAGGCTAGCAAGTCAATCAGAGAAGTCGGACATGCAATTTTGATGTTTATTTTGTCACATTTTCAATTTAAAGGGGTGCTCCTTGAAGAAAATTTCACGAGGAAACCAATGGAACCACTCTAAATACCTTGAAGTGTTGTATAAACTGAGTTATAAGCTTTTAAAGTTTCCGAATTTTGTCCGACCTCTCCTATTGACTGGATCCCCCGTGCGCCGGAACCAAGATACGCATGTTTTTAGTTGCACCAATGATACTTAACAAAGACGATTTGAAAAGAACAGATGTCAGAATCAAAATAAAGCGGAAAATGAAAGAAAGAGAACAATGCTGGAAGTCTTAAGGGTGTTAAAACATCTCGGAAGTTGAGGGTTAAGGTGTCTCCCGCCCCCGCGAGAAATCGTTTCCTGTCGTCGTAAAAAATAATCTCCGCGGAGGACATCCGAATTGGGGGACAGAGCCGAGCAGCGTTGCCAAGAATTGGGAAATATCTGAATTTACCCAAAAATTGAGAGCCGAGACGCCAAGAACTTTGGGAACGTAAATGTTACAATGCTGCTGTTTGAGAGGTTTTAACTAAGGGTCTGTTCTTACAGCAATCAGCAATCTATGGCTGCAAATTAATATTTTTTGACTATTGAAATAGATTTTAATACCTCTGGCTTAAGTAAGTGACGGCATATTGACGATGTAAGTCCGCAGCCCAGTGGCGTGGCATGAATTGCGATATTATATCGATTGTTATGTCATTTAAACCTATGGAAATGGATCGATAAACAGGGTGTTCGCAGCGAACACCTTAATAATCGATTCTTTACCATAGGTTTAAATGACATCACAATCGATACATCTCAATTCACGCCACGCCACTGTCACGCATCTCGGTTTGCGACGTCGCAGACTTCCTGTCATACTTAATTTTTTAAAAGGCAAATTTCTCAATGGCAAAAAAACTGCCGTGACTTTTCCTCCTAAAGCAAAGAAAATTCTGCGAAAACTTCAGGGAACAATGTCGTTTCGTTCTCTACTAGAAAAAAAAAAAAAACACATTGGATCTAGAGTCCAGACTCTTGAAAACATTGACAAGAAAAAGGACTCTTGATTCAATCCGATTTAAGCCTAAATCAAAAGGAAATGCGCTCAAATTAAGAGGCTTGGTTCTTGATTAACGCTTACATCTGATTGAATCAAGAGAATTTTTTCTTGTCGATGTTTTCAGGAGTCTGGACTCTAGATCCAATGTGTTTTTTTTCCAGTGTCCTTTAAAAAAATAAAATATTAGCGGAGATTTTCAAACACTGCAAACGAGATACGTGGTTGCAGACCTACACCGTCGATATGTGCCATTACATAAGCCATGCAGATAGGAGCTTTTACGGATGAGTCAGAAATAGTAGCTTTCCGTTGAAACATGTAGTTCCAAACTTGTAATCCGCACGAACGCTCTCTTGTAAAAAATTAAATTACCCAGTCAAATTTGGCAAAAGCACTACCGTGCTAAGGAAGAATACCGTATGAACATTCGAGAGTTGCCAAATTTCCCTGGATAAAACACGTGTTTTTGACAACATTCATGCAATTTTTCCTTGAAATTTTCAGTTATTTTAGATTGAATTATTCACAAAATTGACTGAAAATTTTGGAAAATAATATTCGCAATTTGCCCTGTAAATTCGTGTTTTATTAAAGGAAATTTGGCAACGCCTGAAGGTTCATACGCCGTTTTTCCTCACCACGGCAGAGCAGATATGGCTTAGCTCCTTTCTGCTGAACGCGGTCCAGCGGGCCGATTATTGAACTTGATAGACAAAGCTATAGACAAAGAAGGAAAAAGAGATATGGAGGGATCCTATTGGTGGAAGCGGGTGGTTGCAATGGACAAAGGTGGTAGGTAATGGACTAACTAACGGCAACCCACTAGAGACCCGATAGTTAGTCCATCATTTTCTCCCTTAGTCTATAGGAACCACCCATTTCAACCAATATGATAGCTCCATACTTCCTCCGTCTTCTTTGTCTATCGCTTTGTTTATCAATTTCAATAATCGGCCCGCAGGTCTCCTTCCCGTGAACGATCACGATTTTTTCGGGAGATTTGTCAACGCTGGCGTTGAGGTGGAGGCGTTTTGATGGAGTGATCATGGGCTCTAACGAGACGAATTCGCCGAATGAATTGGAGGGAGGCTGAAGGACTCCCCAGGGACACGGGAGGGCGGCGGTATACAGTGCAGCGCTCGAGTTTTCACCCCCTGTCCCCCTCCCATAGTATTGGTTTCAATCATCGTCCAACATTACCTTATTAATTTTCCTTCTCCCTCCTCAAACCCCCCTCCCCCTCCTCGAACCCCCGTCCCCCTCCCCCGGCCAAAACTTGATAATGCGGTCATCTTAATTTGCGGAGGCTGCCGTGAGGACTACCTCAAGTTGAGATGTTCACCTTCCCAGCGCTGGGGTTGTTACCCCGGTCCATTGGCGGATTAGGAAAATTGGCAGCATTGCACTGAAAAAAAAAAATCTCGGTGTATTTACTGAGAAAAGGGTAAAATTACCAGGAGTTCAGGGTTCTATTTGATCCCAGTGTTTTCTTGGTAAAATTACCATTTATGGAATTGGTAATTTTACCGAGAAATCTCGGTAAAATTATTGAACTTTTTCGGTACTTTTACTGGACCTTCGTAAAAACGCCAATATTTTTTATCGACTGTGGTAGAATTACCGAGATAAAATGGCAAAGTTATCGGGAATTGATTACCAATAAGGTGGTATTCTTACCTGAAAAAACCAGTAAAAATACCTGTTTTTATAGGGAAGCTTACCAGTCTTTCTTGGTAAAATGACCAATCATTGGTAAAAAAAAGTGAGATGGTAAAGGTACCAACGGACCTTGGTAAAATCGCCGAGAATTTTTTTTCAGTGTGTTTTTCTCCATTTAAACTTATGGAAATATATAGATTCTTGAAGGCGCAAGATCCTACGACAAGAATCGATCATTCAACATAGATTTAAATGGAGAGAATCCGGTGTTGCCAAATTGCTGGAACCTTAAACAGCTCCTCGAGTTAGGAAACTTAATTTTTGACTCTGGGAGGTTTAAGGAATCCCTCAAAATGGCATTATAAAAATAACGATTTTTGTCCAACTTGAGTTCTTAGTATCACGAGCTTTAGATATAAGTCTGCAAATACACCCTTAAAGCATAATTAGACATCTTGTAAATTGAAAAAAAGAAAGGAAAATCGAAAGTGAACACAGAAAAAGGTAGGATAGACTTATTCTTATTTTGTAATGTTTCTCAGGAATCTTAGCGGCTCTTCAATAGCAGCACAGAGCGAAGTATTGCGAGTTCATGTCTAATGCCATCGCACCTTAAATTTTGCAGTTGCAGCGGCTCTGTCATCGATGCGCGATGAGGTGTTCCTTACTTTTTGAAATTTTAGGAAAGTCAGGGTTAATTTTGCTGAAATTCTGCTATGATGTGTTCCATTGAATAATCATTTTGGAAAATAAGAAACAAAATAAATGAAGACCTCTCCTTGGCCACCCATTGCCATCCAATTCATCGTTTCCCTCACCAAAGAGCGTAACTTTATTGCGATGTTGCCAAATCTCCCTCGCAAATTGCAATCTCACCCGAAGAACCTTGGTCAGTTATGACTGAAAATTTCACTGAATGGAGATGTTGCATGTGTGAGGAATTTGCGATTTGACTACTGTTTTCTATGTAAAAGTTCGCGAGAAACACGATGGTGCCACTGGTTTTCTCTGAAATTAACTCTCAAGCTCAAATAAAGCTCTCAAGTTGAGGCCAAAATGGAGAGGATATCCCACGCTATCCTGAGAGTCCACATCTACATCAAGACAAACTCATCATACATTTTTGTAAAAAATTGAATCTTTTGAGTCCATTTTGCAACCTTGGAATGAAGTTACGTTCCTCCGTCCGGAAAACATCGAATTATCGGAAAGAAAGGCAACGGGCGGAGGCTGATCCGATAATGGCCAGATTTGACTCATCTCGAGAGGTGATGCTGCAGATAAGAAGCATCCCCCCACCCACTCAACCACCACCCCCCTCCCCCCGAAATTCGACGGCGGATTGGAATAGGGGGCAGGGAGTGGGGGCTGGATGGAAGATGGATCGTTCTCCTGATCGGCTATGAGAGCGTTCGAAAGCTCAGTTGCCCCGTTT